AAGACGGCGCACCCATTAAACAGACCGAACTCATGAGGCTTAAGACCAGACCCGACGGCAGCGTTTGTCTGACCATCGATTGCGCCAAACTATCGGACGCCGGAAAGTACGCCGTCTTCGCGAAGATCGGCAACAGAGGCGTCGGTTCGATGTCTGTCGTCTCCGTCACGAAAGCGCCCGAAGAAGAGAAACCACAGGAAGAAGAAGAGGCGCCCGAAGAGGAGGACCAACAAATGGAGTTTAAGGACAAACTGCCCAAAGCCTTAACAGTAGCCGAAGGAAGTCCATTGAAACTCGTGGCGAAGATCGCGCGACGCGGCGAACGGATTCCCGCATTAAAGTGGACTAAAAATGGGGCTCCGGTTGAAGAGTCCGATCGCGTGTATCGCGAGTCGACGCCCAACGGAACCGTTGCGCTGAAGATCGACAGCGCGTTGCTATCAGACGCCGGAAACTATACGCTGAGCTTCAAGACGGCGGACGGTATGAAGAGCTGCAACGTTGCCGTTCAGATCACACGTAAGCTATTATAACATTCATTGTTTGAAATGCATTCACGTATTGACGATATGACTTATCGTATTGACGACACGTATTGACTTTTGAATTATAATCGTTAAAAATATTTTAATTGTTGGAAAAATGTAAAAATTTTAGACTAGTGTTTGGAAATAGTTGTTTTATATAAATATGCAATTTAATTGTTATGCCTTATTCTAACACTAGTCTCGCATTTTTTAAAATTACAACAATTAAAACATTTTTAACGATTATAATTCCTATCAATTTAATATCATTAATATCTATGTTGTGTTTTATTGATGTTGTGTTTTACAGCCAAATCGACTATAGATAAGCCGGTCTTCATTAAAGGTCTGTCCAGAATGAGCGCAGAGGAGGGAAAGTCGTGTCGATTGGAGTGTAAAGTTTCGGGAGATATTGAAACAATCAATTGGTTTAAAAATGGAGAGAAAATATCGGCGAACGAACACTTCGGGTTCGTTAGGGATTCGGACGGAACTCTGGCTTTACTCATAGATTCCCTTAAATCCGATGATTCGGCCGAATATTCTGTGGAAGTAATGAATAAGAGCGGAAAGGCTGACACCTCTGCCGCCCTTAAAGTCGTACAGAAGGCCAAAGAAAAGCCAATATTTTTGGAGGAATTGAAGCCAATTATGTCGAGTGAAGGAAATAAACTAATTTTGAAAGCCGTCTATAAGTCAGACCTTCCGGCGACCGTTAAATGGATGAAAGATGGCTTTGACCTGAAGGCTGATCATAGGATTCAAATACATGAGGGACCGGACGGTACGGTCACTCTGACCATAGAGTCGGCCCTTATGGACGATAGCGGGAAATATACGGTTTCGGTGATCAATGATGAGGGAAGAGTGCGAAGCAGTGGAGCCGTTACTGTCGGCTCCAGAGATGACAATAAACCCGTTATCACCGAAGGTCTCATTCCAGTCACTCTAATGGCTGGAGAGACGGGAAAGTTGACGGTTAAGGCCTCCGGAGAACCCGAGATTAGGTTTATTAAAGATGGCCAACAAGTGATTCCCAACGATAGGGTCCACATAAAGGGTCAGCCGTACGGCAAAACTGAACTCGTTTTCGATGAGGTCAGGCCTGAAGATGAGGGCAATTATATTGCGGTCGCAGTCAATGATAACGGAGAAGCGAGAAGTAGTGCACCGGTTCTTGTGAACAGTAAGCCATTCATTGCTATATTATTATTGCAAATCTAACTAACATTTTAATATTTGCAACTCTAAAGGGTCGCCAAAGTTTGAGAAATCATTGACTGAAACGACTGGAATCGATGGATATCCAGCAAAACTGGAGACCAAAGTTGACGGCCGGCCGACACCTGATATCAAATGGACAAAAGACGGCCAAACACTGCGTCCCGACGGAACTCATCTTAAAGTATACGCGGGAGACGACGGCATTCACACACTTTTGTTTGACAAATGCTCGCCAAATGATTCCGGTATATGTTTTTCACATTAAACTAATGAATATTGTTTTGCAAATACTAAATATTTTATGTATTTTAAGGCACTTATGGTGCGATTGCGAGCAATGAGTTCGGAAAGACCGAGACTTCGGCCCCTTTTACGGTCAAATCCAAGGTCGAAGACATGGGCCCCGAATGCGCCCCAATTTTCATCGGTTCCCTTCAAGACGTGGCCGTAAACGAAGGCCAGACCATTGACTTCTTCGCTGAAATCAAAGCCAATCCGATTCCTGATATAAAATGGTATTTTAATGGACAAGAAATACAAATTTCGGATAACATTCTCATGTCTTTCGACGGCACGAGAGCTCAGCTAAAGATAATCAAATGCGAAGCCAAACAAATGGGCGAATACGAGCTCAAAGTGACCAACAGTTTGGGTGAAACGAGCTCTAAAGCGAAGGCCGATGTGATCGGCAAAAGTGCGCCCAAATTTGTGCAAAAGTTTACGGACTCTGAGGTCGGACTCTCGGAATCGTTGAAATTGGTGTGTCGTGTGATTGGATTTCCGGCGCCCGATATCCAGTGGTTCTGTAATGGAGATCGTATTGAAGCGGGAATTCATTACAGTATTATCCGTGAGGGAGACGTCTGCTCTCTTGTGATCGTCAGACCCACCGATAGGATGACCGGTGCCTACGAGTGCAGAGCCACTAATATGTGTGGCACTGATAGCTGCAAAGCTAACATCACTTTTATGTAATCCATTTTGAATTGTAAAAATCTTTAATAAAATTGACGTGAATTTTGTTTGATTGCACTTCAGGGACACCGAAGCGAAGGGAGAGTCGGCCTCTTTCCTCAAGAAACTGTCCGATTGTGAGGTACGGGAAGGAAAGACCGCTAAATTTACGGCCTGTGTTACCGGTTCACCAAAACCCGAGATTAAATGGTTTGTCAAACATATTAATTGCATAAAAAAGCCAATTGACAAAAATTTTTACAATACTTTTATGTGTGGTTTAGGTTCAGGAATGGCGTTGAATTTGATCCGTTGTCGTCGACCACCAAATACGGTGTGGAATACCTGAGGAATGGATTGATTCGGTTTGAGATCCGTTCGGTGGAAGCGTCGGATTTGGGTGAATACCGGTGCCACGCGATGAACGCTCTCGGCTACGACAACTCCATCGCGACCCTCAAGTTTGAGTGTAAGCCCTGTTTGATGCCATCATTACTATCAGCCCTGTTTGGCGCCAATCAAAGAGCAGTCACACAATTATTAACACCCGAATTGAGTCCCATTTCGTGCGCCCTTTCGGCCATCAGTTTGTTTGTGGCGCTAATAGTCTTACTGAACGCTTTCAGTTCCCCGCCATTCCCGCCGCAGCCGTGCGATACAACTCTGGCCAATATTACAGAGTTTGTATTCAAATGCACCAGCGATTCGTGCCCTTCCACTCCCCCTAAATAATTGGGACATTAATTGCAATAACAACTATATGTTTGCGTAACGCCTGTAACCCGAGTGAAACTGTTGGCCATAACTATCTATCGCTCATTGTTTTAAATTCAATATTCAATTTATTTCGCAATTTGAGATTCAAATGTGCCTAATATAGTGTTCCCCTATTTTGCGAGCTATGCATAGCTTTTGTTCAGTCCATCCGTTCAAACCCCGCTTTCCACCACTTATTGAGACATTATTTCATTGAATATATAATGAGTTATATTTCGATGCATTAGAAGAAATCCAATCTTTAACTTTAAATTCCAATTAAATACTTATATATTTAATTAAATATAAATAATATGTTATTTAGTATTCCTAGCGATATATAAGTTATTACTTTAATTCCAACGATTCGAGTAAATGCTATCTATTTTTATATAAATGTCAAAATTTTTAGCTATTTATGTGATAATATTATTATTGAAAACAAAATCTGACGTTCAAATTGTCATTAATTTCATTTATTCAGAATTAACTGTAAATATTTCATTGAAAATTGAATTTCCATTAAAAGCTTATTTATTTAACACGTTTTGATGCCTTATTCATTGATTGAGTAGTTTATTACTTTAGATCTAATAAACAGTGATTAATGAATGCAATTTTATTAACCAAAAAATTGTCAGATAATCGTATCATAACTTCACACTAGAATTAACATGTGATAGGATTGGCAACAAAAATCAAAACACAGTTAAGTATTTGTTATTTAAGTCAAATTGAAACCCAATTTTCAATTGTATAGCACTGGACGACAAGCATAGGAGACGCTCGTCGGCCGACAAACTGAGCGATAGGTTTAAAAAGTCTGGAGTACCGGTCCCTCTACCAGACCGGCCCAGAATTGTCAAAATGACCGACAATGATGTGACCCTCTCGTGGCTACCATCCGTTCCCATTCAGCCCAGAATTCCTGTCACTTATATAATAGAGTTCTGTAGGATTCCGGACGGAGAGTGGTTTGCGTATAGAACTGGTATGTAATCTCCTATTCATAGCAAATGTCGATTCATTAAGCATTCAAATGAAGAGAATTTATTGTGAAATATAACAAAAATGATAGGAATTCAAGACAATCAGTGCACTGTCGACGGACTCAGTCCTGGAGTAGACTATGGTTTCCGCACTCGTGTGGAGAATAAGTACGGAATCAGTGATCCATCGCCTGCTGTCACCGCATACAGGAGTAAACTCCGGCCCTCAACAGAACTCGGAGATCATAAGCCAAAGGGCTATGACTTAACGCACCCGGACTTTGACAGATCAGGTTTGTTATTATTAATTCTGTTTCATATTTACGATACAATCATATTTATTGTGCATTTTGTATGCGATCAGAGGGTGCGCCGCGATTCTTAGGTGAACACGAGGAGACCCTGTATGCGGTGAAAGGCGAACCCGTGACCCTTGAGTTCTGGATATATTCACATCCGGACGCCAACATTGTTTGGCAGTTTGAGGACCAAAAGGTGATAACAATTGATATTTTGTTTGAATTTTTAACTAAATATTAAACTCAATAAACCAAATAATATAATAATACCTAATTATAGATACAAACGGGATCGGGAGGAAGGTTTGACACATTGCAGGACAGGGGCGGACAGAACTGTCTATTCCTGACCAAAATGACCGAGGGTGATGTGGGCTGGTATACATGTGTGGCCACCAATATTCACGGCTCGGATATGCGAAAAATAAAGGTATTGTTAGCCGAAGCGCCCGTTTTTACCAAACGCTTCGACGAGACAACAGTCTTAAACCGAAGACACGCCCGCTTTGAGTGCTCTGTCGTCGGTATACCTCAGCCAACGGTGCGATGGTTTAAGGACTGGCAGCCAATGCACGAATCGGATCGCATCAAAATCCTATGGGAGTCTCCAGACAGAGCCACTCTCTTCATCAACGGAGCCATTGTTAAAGATTCCGGACTTTACTCGTGTTTGGCCTCCAATATCGCGGGTCACGCCTCCATCTCAGCGATGCTTAACATTGAGGGTAAGTGAGAGCACCGGACGGCACGCTTTCGCACAGTTATTAACCGTCGATTTCCTATTGAATAAAAACAGAGTCAGAACTAGAATACGATAAATACACGTTTGGTTACAATAAGTTTATAAAAGCCAAGACTAAGCCATTTGAAGCCTATTACGACACGGGAGACGAGTTGGGTCGGGGCACTCAAGGCATTGTCTACCACGCGGTCGAGAGGGCCACCGGTCGGAGCTTCGCCTCGAAGATGATGCACGCGAGGGGAGACATGAAAGAGCACATGACTGCCGAACTCGAAGTGATGAACCAATTGGGATATCATCCACGAGTGACCCGTCTGTGGGACGCATTCGCGTCGACACCCAATTCGCTGACTCTCGTCACAGACCTGTGCGGAGGCGGAGAACTCATGAAAGCTATTCTCCAAAAGGGGTCCATCACTGAGAGTGAAGTCGCGTTTTATATCCGACAGATTCTCGAAGGACTCGATTATTTGCACTTTAAAAATATCGCTCATTTCGGTCTCAATGTTAGTATTGAATAATGTTTTGCAATGAATTCAATGATTTTAATGGACGTGCATTTTGTGGTCCCAAAGATTGGCGACGTTTTGCTCGAACGGATCAATGGAAGCGATATAAAGATCGCAGACTTTGGTTTAGCTCAACGTATTATTCCAGGCATTAAATACATTGTAGAGTTCGGTCAGCCGGAGTTCATCAAAAGATTGGCGACGTTTTGCTCGAACGGATCAATGGAAGCGATATAAAGATCGCAGACTTTGGTTTAGCTCAACGTATTATTCCAGGCATTAAATACATTGTAGAGTTTGGTCAGCCGGAGTTCATCGCACCCGAGATTCTGGACAAACAGTCGGCCAGTTATGAGGCCGATGTCTGGTCGGGTGAGTCCATACACTTGCCTACAATATATTGACAAATAATTTGTAAGAATAATTGTTATGTGTGTTTAGCGGGAATCATAACATACATCCTATTGACCGGAATATCTCCATTCCTGGGCGACACGGATCGGGCGACTCTACAGCACTTGCAGTTGGGAAACATTGACTTCAATTTACTCACAGAGGTATCGCTGGAAGGCAAGGATTTTCTCTCCAAAGTGTTAGAACGCGATCAATACAAGAGGGTTGGCGTCAAACAAGCGCTTCAACACCCGTGGCTCAGACTCGCCGACAAACCCGGAACCGGCACTCAATTGGGTTGCATTGAAAACCTGAGACAATACTACAAACGATATAAAAATTGGGTACGTTTTTCATTGTTATCATAACTTTTATTGCAATCCTAATAACCATTTATAATCCGTTTTTCATTGTTGTCATAACTTTTATTGCAATCTTAATAACTATTTCTAATCCACGCGTTATATAGTATGTGAACGCCTCGTGTAAAACCCATTACCGTCGCCGTCCGTTGCACTCATGCTTTACACACCCGAGTCGTATGATATACCCGCCGGACGAACAGTACACTCCGCCCCCGAGTCCGGAGCGAGAGGTCGGGCACTCAAAGTTCAAGGCCTCGCAGTTCGACGAGACTATGAAACAGAAGATCTCGAGAGATCACTACGACGTCCACTCCGAGAGCCAATACCAGAGCGGACCCGACACTTATTTGCTGCAACTCAGAGACACAGACTTCGCCACTCGTATCCGACAGTACCTCCGAGTGGGCGCCTCCAGGAGTCCCAGTTTGGCCGCCAGTCTTAGGGAATCTCATTGGGGAGACAAAAATGTGAGTCCAGTTTATCACTTTATCACATTTTTATTAGGCATTCAATTATTGAAATTAATTTATTTTGTTTGTGTTTATCACTGAAAATAAAATTGTATTTCTTGTTTACGAAACAGCACTCAGACTACGGCTATAAGCCGTCGGTTTCGGTGAGAGAGCGGCGAAAGTTCACAGATATTATGGACGAAGAGGTGAGCGACGAGAAGAGGGGTCTCGAGACTCGATCCAAACCAATGCGTTTAGTGCGAGAGGTGGGCACAAGTGGTTACGCTTACGGACAGTTGCATCACCTGAAGAGAGAGGCCAAAGCCAATGTAGTGGCCGGCGATCTGACGGCCACCGGAACCGTCACAAAAGTGCCATTTTTTCGCGAAAAACTCAAAGATATGGCCGTCAGAGAGAACGAAGACGTGGTGTTCAGTTGTCTGGCTGTGGGAGAGCCCACTCCCAGCTATACCTGGTTTAGAAACGACGGCATTCTTATCGAGAGCTCGCGGATCGAAGTGAAGCGCACGGATGAGGGCAGGTGTGAGCTGCGGATCAAACCGGCCCGAGCTTACGATGTGGGCCAATACAAGTGTGTCGCCCGTAACGAAGAGGGAGCCGTCGTGTGTCGCGCGAGACTCAAGTTGGGCGACAGTCCCGCCCCTCCGGAGGCGCCCGAAATCAAGAGCGGTTCCAGTCATGAGCTCTATTTGTGTTGGAGTCCTCCCAAACACGACGGCAACAGTCATATACTGTGCTATCGATTAGAGTACAAGAAATGCGATGACCAGAAGTGGACAGTCGTCGCCGACAACGTTATGCACGAGTTCTACATAATGAGAGACTTAGAGCCGGAGACGAGTTATAACTTCCGAATCAGTGCCCGAAATAGGTTCGGATGGAGTTCTCCGAGTCTTCAGAGTGAAACGGCCACAACACAGGCCACTGAAGGCGCCCAACGGCTACTCGTGCCCAGAGCTCGCATATACAGGCAAACAGTGACCGAAGACGTCGGACGTGTCATTGTTGACGACTTGTATTCGGTGCCAAACATTGATTACAACAAAGAACTAAATCCGGTTCCGCTGACAGAAGCAGAACACGACTCTCTCTATGAGTTTGTCTCTGAGATATCTCGCGGAAGGTTTTCGCTGATTAGTAACACTCGACTCAAAGACATAAACAAGTCGTGCGTCTGTAAAGCGGTTCTCACCCAAAGTGAGACCGAATCGGGCGTTAATACCGAATACGAGATCATGAAGTCGTTGGCCAACGAGCGTATAGTAGAGCTCCAGTACGCGAGCCGTGGGTCCAATATACTGTGCTATCGATTAGAGTACAAGAAATGCGATGACCAGAAGTGGACAGTCGTCGCCGACAACGTTATGCACGAGTTCTACATAATGAGAGACTTAGAGCCGGAGACGAGTTATAACTTCCGAATCAGTGCCCGAAATAGGTTCGGATGGAGTTCTCCGAGTCTTCAGAGCGAAACGGCCACAACACAGGCCACTGAAGGCGCCCAACGGCTACTCGTGCCCAGAGCTCGCATATACAGGCAAACCGTGACCGAAGACGTCGGACGTGTCATTGTTGACGACTTGTATTCGGTGCCAAACATTGATTATAACAAAGAGCTAAATCCCGTTCCGCTGACAGAAGCAGAACACGACTCTCTCTATGAGTTTGTCTCAGAGATATCTCGCGGAAGGTTTTCCCTGATTAGCAACACTCGACTCAAAGACATAAACAACAGCACGCAGACATTTCGCCAAGAGTGGGTTTCACTCTGGCTTAGCCCGCAATTATGGCTTATGCTCTAGTACTTCAGCAACCGGTTGCTCGCATATCATCTCGAGGTCATGCGCTCGGCACCCAGGAGTGTTTACGGTCTGGTGATGGAGAAGCTGTCGGGCATTGATGTCCTCACTTTCCTATCGCAACGACAACGATATAGCGAAGACATGGTCTCCAAAATCATTCTGCAAGTGTTGGACGGCATCGAGTACTTGCACTTCAGGGGTATATGTCTTCTGGAACTACAACCCGATAACGTACTGGTCATCGATCAGAGGAGACACGACATCAAACTCTGTGACTTCGCTAATGCCAGACGAGTGCCCATCGCTGGCACCCGAGTCTCTATTAATGCCGCCCCGGAATATGTCGGTTAGTACTCGTCAAACACATTCACTGTATCTGTCATTGAATTAATTGATTTCACAATATATTTAAGATATTAGTATTAATTTGCGTTTGTTTTGTGTGTTTATAAGAAAATATTAATGAATTGATTGTTGACTCGACAGCACCGGAACTGATAAAGAACGAAGAGGTGACCAATTCAGCGGACATCTGGTGTGTAGGAGTGCTGACGTATATCTTATTGAGCGGAGTGTCGCCATTCCGGGGCGCGACAGACAACGAGACGGCACAGAACGTGGTGTTTGTGCGCTATCTCTTCGACCATCTCTACCCGGAGATCACTCAGGAGGCCATTCGTTTCATACTAACCCTCTTCAAACTCACCGCTCAGTAAGCGTTTTGCTTATAACACAAGAGTTTTACATTCATTAATCATTTGGATGTTGTTTTGTGTAATAGTAAACGCCCGACGATAGAGGAGTGCGCGGATCATAAATGGCTTCTTCCCAACGAATTCATGGCTAAGAAGAGAGAAAGCGCTGTCTTCTCGTCCCATAAACTGACGGAATTTGCCGATCATTTCCACTCAACCAAATCGAGTTCAACGCCCGCCAGACTGGCCAACATTGCCGGCACATCACTGGCCAAGTATGTCATTATTGGCTAAACAATAGCTGTTAATATCCTTAGTATCTAATGTCTGGTAATCTAATACCTGTTCGGCACCTATAGGTCGGCCTCATTACAGAACGACTCATACGATGAAATTTAAACCGTTTTTCTTCACGATTAACACATTAATGACCGCAATATTTGTGATAAAATATTGGGCTAAACATCCGATGGATAACTGAATGGACGACTCATTACTGTATTATAAAAAGATTCTCCAATTTTTTCATTATTTGAAAGAAATACGAGAAATATTGTAAAACAAGAGCAAAACACTTCATTAAATTGATTCAAACACTAATGTATTGTAATCTATATTTAGAAACAACTATTTAAATTAAATAAAATATTTTTGTTCCTAAACCATGTGTAAGGACTTTATTTCAATAATTCATAAATTAAGATATCTATAAAATATGAATGTGGGTTATTTTTAAAAACAGAATCATTTTAACTGATTTCAATATCATTATTAATCAAAAAATATAAAACTTTAATTAAATTTAAATTTGTTTAATAATATACTATTTAGTGAGAAATACACAACTTTTAAAACTGCTGGAACATTTGGTCATCCTACATAATAAACATTTTTATGACTATTTTGAAAATATTTCCCGCGTCTTAATTTTAAAATAAAACTAATTTCATCAAAATCGTTTATGGGCTTATTAATTGACAGGCAGATTACTTATCTAATCTATAGATAAACACCTGTTACAATACAATATACAGAAAATTCCATAGAAAATACATAACTATTTTTGAGAAAATACCAATTGATTTAAATGTAAATTTACCATATAAAATTACTTATATTAAAACATTAATAAAATATAAATTATGAGTGTGATACCTATAATATATTATATTATGTATTACACATTGTAATAATACATAATATTCATAACCTTAATTTCACATCATCTTTAGAAATTCAATAATTGTTAAGTGAATATATAAATGTAAATTAATGTAAAATTTTTTCTATGGCATGTACTCTATGTTACAGTACTATTTATATAGTACTGTATTATAATAGTAATAATGTAATTAAAAATTGAGTTAATTAATAACAATTAAGATTAATTTATTTAAGAAATTAATAACATTGTTATGTATAACATATTGGATTATCTTATAAATAATATATTATTTTATAATAATTTAAATTATGCCAGTAAACATTATCTTAAATTAAAATAAAACTTAATAATTTTATAAACATGATCAAATTGGAATCAGGTTATAAAAACGTTGCAATATTGTCTCGTATAATGAATAGAATCCATGTCAAAATATAAAACTGATGAAGTATTATCAAACAAAAACATTTTAAATAGATATAAACTGGTATCAAATCAGTTGTAAGTCGACTGAGCACATGTCAAGGAATAACCTGGATTGTCAAATATTAAAAGAGCATCTTTTAAAATTACCTTTTAATATTATTCGGGGACATTGATAACAAATTGTCAATATTATCTAAAAGTTCACTAATTGTTAATTCTAATTAAATAAATTCTTTAATTATTGTAACAATACATATTGTATAACCTAATAGAATATTTATTATATAATAAAATATTATTAAATTTAATACGGTCATTTGTAATAGAATTTAATGAATAAAATTTAATAATTTTATAAACATGATCAATATGGAATCAGGTTATAAAAACGTTGCAATATTGTCTCATATAATGAATAGCATCCATGTCAAAATATAAAACTGATGAAGTATTATCAAACAAAAACATTTTAAATAGATATAATTTATATCTATTTAAAATGTTTTTGTTTGATAATACTTCATCAGTTTTATATTTTGACATGGATAGATTTGGACAGTTTTATATTAATGGTTAGAGGGAGGCCGGGACTGAAACATATTGAACGTGGTTAATGAATTATTAAGTTTATTAATCAACTATTATTCATGATAAACGTTACAATAATTGCAGTCATCAAGTGCCCTGATGCTAATAATGTTTATGAATATATAGTAAATGAGTTTAAACCCCACTTGTTATATTAGTGTACTCTATATATGAATGAATTATGAATAGTGTATAAATTATAACACATTTGAATAATGCTGTGTCCACGCAGGTGGACAAACCGGTCATACTTGGATATAAACTATCAAATGTATCAAATCAGTTGTAGGTCGACTGAGCACATGTCAAGGAATAACCTGGATTGTCAAATATTAAAAGAGCATCTTTTAAAATTACCTTTTAATATTATTCGGGGACATTGATAACAAATTGTCAATATTATCTAAAAGTTCACTTTTAGAATACCAGAATTTTATGGCAGACTTATCCCTAATATCCAGAATAACTCAAAAAGTAACATGGTCGCTCTAGAAGCATGGTAAGCTAACTTTGATTTTGTGGAAAGTTTTTCCAATTAATAGGTCTGTTATTTGTTTAATACTTTAAATTTACGTTCAAGTATCAAGATCCGTTTAAGCAATTAAAACATGTTTAGTTATTCACACGATATCATAAAATGTTATTTTTAAAAGTGGTATAAATTATGAACAGTTCTCACGAATCTTTGTATCTCTTAGAAAGAGTTTACAAACAATTAAAATGTTTGAGAAATATATTTTGGTTTTAGTTTTAAATGTAATTGTTTTGCTAAACCAGACATCAGGAGAATGTGGTTACAAGTCTTGCGATAAAACTGATCCAAAGAAGTTAAACATTCACATCGTATCTCACAGTCATGACGACGTCGGATGGCTTAAGACAGTGGATGGCTATTATACGGATGACGTGTCGCACATCTTAACCAATGTTGTCAACTCTCTGGACAAGAATCCGAAGCGAAAGTTTACAGAAGTGGAGATCTATTACTTCAACAGGTGGTGGTCTGAGCAGAATAACCAGACCCGGCATTTAGTCCACAAACTGGTCAGTTCTGGTCAATTGGGTTTCGCTAACGGAGGCTATACTGTCAACGACGAGGGGTCGGCTCATTATAATGAGATCATCGATCAGATGACACTCGGACTCAGAATTTTGGACAGAATATTTGGCAAATGCGGTCGTCCTTTGATTTCGTGGCAAATCGATCCGTTCGGCGCATCCAAAGAGATGGCATCCCTTTACGCGCAAATGGGTTTCGATGGCCACGTCTTCAATAGAGGTGTTATC